TCCATTACGCCATTCAGACGAATAACTGCTTTCTAGGGCGGCACAACTCTGACAACATGCAGTACTGTGATTATATTAGTTCTAGGACTACACAAAACATACAAAATAGCAACTATACCCTTATATTACTTTTTTACTTCTTTTAATGTTTGTGTATATCAAAAACAGTCGTAGTTCAATTCTGCAGCACCATCTATCCCTTAGACTTAAACAGGCTGTGTGTGTTACTGTGCCTCTAAGACTGCGGTATGCAAATGACTTCTATTCTGATTGGCTGCCCGGTTATTGTGCCTTAATCTAAAAGCAGTCCAGACTGAAACACTCCTTATAACTTTAGCGTGAAGTGGAGGAGCTGAACTGCTGTTGCTTGAATAGGCATAAATGTAAATGTTTCGGTTATTTTGACATAACAAAAACAATGAATATTACAGCTTCGCTGCCATATACAGATGCATGCAGTGAAGAGTGAATGGTATCTTTTGGATATTTAAATTCTCTTATTAAAAATAGGAGAGAGAGAAAGAGAGAGAAAGAAAAAAAGAAAATTCAGTTTTCCATGCTATTGGCCCTTTAACAAATGACATAACATGCAGCCCTATTACATTCTTTTAGAGATGTAATAGACTAAAAAAAATAAATAAATGGTGCAATAAGTCAGTCAATGTGGATCGTCATTTGAAAATGGGTCTTAGGTGGGTCCTGGGTCAAATCTGAGTTCAATAAATGACTGTTAGGTGATTTTTCCATTACAGAAAGAGGGAGTACGCTAGCATGAGCACTCTAAAGCTGTCTCATTTCCTGTTTATTCTTTTGACAACTTTATAACTCACATGTAACTCCCACGCACTCAGAGACTATAACACACTTGACAGAAGACAAGCAGGTCAATCCAGTACAGTTGTAGGAAAAACTTCATGCACCCCTGGTCAAATGACATGTTTTGTAGATTTTCTAAATGAAAATAAGTAACACATTCTTCCCATACAGGGTACACCCTTCTACACCTTTTACAATTACTTTTTATTTGCTCAAATTACCATATTGGAAAAAATAAAACATAGAACGTGTTACGTACAAAGGTTTGAGCCATCCCACCAAGTCATTCCCAATGATTTCTGCCAATGAGAGTGTTACTAAGTACTAACTGACAGGGTGTCCAAACTCTTGCACATGCCATGTTTTGTTTCAATGGTTTCCCAGTATGTTCAATTCAGAAAATAAATAGAAAGCATGGACTAAAATTGACAGTAATACACCATATTTAAGGATGTTCCCTGTAGAAGATTGCATGCAATTAGAAAATTAACTATACAAGTAACTTGACCAGGGATGCACAAACATTTGCATAAGACTGAACATAAAAATAGAATAATTCACCTTTTAACTTTTGGGAAACTTTTTAATGCATGTAAAATTATTTACAAAAAAAAATAAAAAAGGGTTAATTCACAGAATTTGCTTTTAGCTGTAGTGGTTGACATGGCATGAGTGAGGGCAAAGTGATTTTAGAGGCCGCAATAAATCCCCTATTGTTCCTTTCACAAAGTGCTGCATATTTATGCCTTTATGTAACTCTGCCATATGAGAATCTGCCAATAACAAGCTGCAGTTCAGCAGGCTAAAACAAACCAACCTATACTGCCACAATGACACGTCTTTTCTCTTTATTCACCTCAGTATGAATTGAAAATGCTAGCCTATGTCAAACATTAGAGCCTGTGAGGATCTGTAGCACTTCATAAGGGGAAAACTTAATATGGAATCTCCTCCCCCAACATGCTTTTAAATGAAGGAATTGAAATTATGTTGTTGACTCAAAAGAGGAAAAGTACCAGCTAGTTTTTTTTCTTCCTTATGTTAGCACGGTTAGCCCAGAATTAACAGCAGCACACTAGCGCAGTGAATAATTACTCTGTTGAATTTGCTACAGAGAAAAGGAATGATATGTAAACATTTAGGTCAAATATTAAAACCCATAAACCCATACTACAACTACCACTACTACTATTGCTACTACTGCCACTAATGACAATAATAGAGTTTCAGATACTTGTATTGTATGTACCTGTGTATGTACACTGTACAGAGTTAACCCAATAAATACAATTGGCTCAAAATTAACTCTGTACTGGTGCTGTAGTTGGCATCACCAATACAGCAGCAGAGTAGAGAATGAACAATGTAAAAACTACGTAAAAAGTATATATATGAAAAGCAGAATATTCTCCTAAAACTCTCCAACTGTGTTGAACAAATGCAAGAAAATACATTTACTTAAACTAAAAAAAAAGCTTGTACCAGGTACAAATAACAATCTCCTGTTAATTGTGTTGCAACTGATATGAGGTGTGGAGGGGAGGAACATGCAGTTTACAAGTACTAATAAATCTTGTTGCACACATGCATGAAAATTCACAAGTGAGAGAAACACTGAATGAATGAAACAAAAGAAAAGTTCAGTATTCTAATGATTCTCAGGTGTTTTGAACATATGGATAAAATACATTAACTAAATTAACAAAACTGCATGAAAAAATGCAAGGTGAAAACACAAAACTTTAGGCAAAATAACCACGTAATAACTGCGTTGCAGTCTTTATAAGAAGTGTGGAGTGGGCGAGGTAGAGGGTAGTTAAAAATAATACAAATGCTAGGTAGGAAATGCATGAGCAGAAAGCATGTAAAGTGAGTGAAATCAGTAATTAAGCTGAATTGTCCCCCATAGATGGTATATGGTAGCCCTCCATTATTGCCTGGATAGGATAAAACTCACAGGCATAAACTAAGAGCAAAAAAAAACATTCAAAAAAGCCTGAAGTATGTAGAGTATGTGAAATCAGGGTGATTTAGGTGAATTGTCCCCTCAATAGATGTGGTAGGTAAGCCCTCTATCTTACTAAGAGAGGTTTAAAAACGGAAACACACACACACAAACATGAACTAAGAGTAAAAATCATAAAGTTGGATCAAAAATATATATGAATGCACTAAGCAGAGGTAAGAGAAATCATGATGTGTGTGAAATGTTGGTGTAAGCTGATCCTGATGAGGGGTTAGTGTGCTGTAGGTGTAGGGGTGTGGGTGCAGAGGAGCAGCAGCTTATTCCGCTCCGCCATTTTCATAAGGCTTTCAATACACACAGCGAGGAAGGAAAAAACACAGCCCAGCAAAAAAACATCCAGACCCCGTTTGTAACCATGTTTTGTTTCAGTGACGACCTGTGAACGGCTCGTACGGATTATTTTACTCCGGATTAGAGCTTATTTTCAGCGCCAAAGAGCTCTGACGCTAGTTAGCAAAAACAGCACCAACGTTAGGTTAACAAAAAAGAAGAAAAAAGTGGCTAAGCTACTTGTTGTTAGCTAACTGTTCGGTTATTCGGGTAAAATACAAGATTATCAGCAACTTCCAACAGATTTCTCAAAGTCTGTCATCCCTGCGGAGTATTTAGATATGTAAAACAAAAAAAAACAAGTTAAAAGGTGAGCTTTTCAAGATCCAAAACAGGAGCTAACGGCTAATGATCACCAGCTAATGCTAACCAGCTAAAGTTAAATGCGCAGACGAAATCCAAGAAATTATGCTCAAAACGCGGGCACAAAACAAGCATTTTTACACTAATTGTATACAATGTCACATGTAAGGTGAGCATATGTTTGTTTTCTTATTTGAAACTGAAAAATACTGACGTTTTCTCACGCTAAACGCAGATAAAAACATTGCGCAGTTGGCCGCCTGAACGCGAACTCAGAGATGGTTTACAAAGCTAGCGAGCTAACTAGCTAACATTAGCTAGCTACTATTTTTATTATTTTATTTATTCATTTTTATTGTTCTCCAATAACTGTTCGCTCAGTTTGCGCACGACCAGCCCATCGACATTTGCAGCACTTCTCTCACGATTACATATGATCAATGTGTAATCATAAACTAGACTAAACTAGTTTATTGTTAATCATATACGTTAACTATATTGATACAGACAAAACAGGCTCTTAGCTGACATTCGTGTATAACAATGCTCACAGTATAAAAGAGTAAAATCTTAAAAGTTTTTTGTGGTGAACTCTTAAAAATATGAATAGCTTACAAGAGGAAATTTCAAATTACTATGAACCATTTCCGTCCAATAGGTAACGTTAAACTCCAAGCCTGCTATAATTTCTAATACCGTTCTCCAGCAAATGTGGAAAACAAAAACAAACAACAATAGAAACAAACACAAACGTCCTCCCTTTGGGTAACTGATCCACCGAGCACGTCTATCCACTTTTATACTTCTTTAAAAACGCAGCCTCTCCTCTTTCACGTCCACATTGCTCATGTAAACATTAATAAACACAGCCTGGCTTTGAAACGAGGCTGGTAGAGGGAAAGAAAATGTGTCAGTAGGGTCTGCAAGAACCAAACGCACGACTTAACCCTAATATTAAAAAAACTGCATCAGCCATTCTTTTCTAAATTAAAGTGCAAAACCTCCTCTTATTCAGCTAACTTGTACTAACACTATCTGGGAGAGTTGCTATGCTAGCTAGCTATACAAAAAGACAGAAAATACACAAAAATGAACTTAAATATCCTGGCGGCAACTTTTCCATCCAATACGAGAAGAAAGAGCACATTTCTTGCTTTCCATACTCAGTAACACATAGCTAAATGACACAAATGTCCAGAGCTTACAAGCTAGCCAGCTGGCTATCTGCCATGCTCAGCAGCCAAAAAAACACATGAGAGGTATTTATGCCACGAAATAAGGTCGTCAGCGTGATAACCTTTAAAAAAAGCACAACTTCTGCATTTAGGAGATTTTAAAAACTGGAGTAAACGTGATCATTAACACACATTATCTCCAGCATCCACACAGAGCCAGAGAGCTGGCCAGCACAAGTCAGGTTAATGTTAGCCAAGAAGATAAAGCTGTAATGTGATGAAGGGGAAAAGAGACCAGTATTTTAGCTGCAGAAGAGGGGTTCAATGTTAGATTTCAATAAAGCACTCACCTTTAATGTCCACTGTATACTAAAAAAACTTGAATGGAGAAACAGGGCACCAAAACAATTACTCTTCAGTCTCCACTGCGGATGTAGCAAGGAAGATTTATGAAAAGGATAAAAACTGATACTAAACTGCTATGTGCTCTCTTTTGTAAGCGTACAGTTCCGGGAGTCTTGTTCTAAGCACAGCCTATAGTTTTGCTGAGTTTTATTTATTTTAAACCCTCAATTTTCATCCACTAAAACCGACTGATAAAAAATTGGATCCTTCAATCCCTGTGCAAAAATGGCGGCCCTGGCAGAGCTGTCCCGGTCACGCCCACCACCGAGAAACCACGCCCACTACCAGTGTTGACCCCGCCCGCCCAGCGCCGCAGGTCACGCCTACATCTGCTGCGGGGTTGCAGAGTGGCGATCGCAGGGGCTCCGGGGGAGGGAGAGTTCATCCACGGTAAAAACGGGCGCACGTTTAGCTGCTTTTCCTCTCTGCAGCACATTAGGGATGGACGACACTTGAGGCTTTGTTTTTAAACGCCTTCTTGCGCGTTTAAAAAGGGGAAACTTGATTTTCATGAAGAGCCATTTGTGTCCACAACATTCAACGGCGAGTATAAGAGACAACCACAATTTAACAATAAGAAAAAAGTAATAATATGCTATTTTTCCAAGCCAAAAAATGTCAGTTTCACTATTAGCATAGCGTATGAACGTATGTTGCAAGTGAAAAGGATTTGATATGTGTATATTTTTGGAATCCAAGCCATAAATAGGCAGTCATTGAATTTGCATCTCAAATAAACGGTGTATTTAGTAAAATAATATTAAACATCAAACCTTTGCCGTGCTCAACTGTTGATCTGTTTCTACATGAACACTACATACATCCATTTAATACTAAACCTTAATAAATAAATAATAGTAAAATAAAATATTTTAAATTAAATATGTTTTAGTAAACCCCCCCACCCCACCAGCATAATAACCATAACCATGGTGCACTGCCACATTAAGGGGCATGATGAGAAGTAAGTGATGTTATTAACGATTAGCCACATTAAATGTGTTATTTTTTCTCCAGTATGTTAAATTCAGCAAACAAACAGTAATTGTGCAGAAGTGGGTTCTCTATAGAGAACCTATTTTCGCTTACAGAACTAACAAAACATGTAATTTGACCAGAGGTCATCTTATCAGAAGGCAAATTAAACCCATGTATTTCTTCAAGTTGTGTTTAAATGTGATTTCAATTCAGTTTTTAGCCTTGTACAAGCTATATATGGGTACTGTAGTAGTATCATCTCTAGTAGTAGCAGGTCTCACCCTGTCTATATACAGTAGCTGTACACTATGCATGCAGATAAGCTGTTTTAATCAATTGAACTCATTTTGACTATACTCATATTGTTACAATACGTAATGCAGTTTTTGTAACACACTGTAGTAGATAAAATACTGTGTCTAGCACAAGCAAGCCTTGTCTTTATAGACCAAATCAGAATGTTTATAAACATGCAGGTTAATGGTGCTTCCAGGTGGACAACTCACAGAGGAAGTGGCTTTTTTCAAAGTAGCAGTGAACACAAAGGGACCATACCAAACAAAAAACATTTGTGATAATGGTGAAATCCTGTTGTGTTCTGTTAGATATTGTAATGCTAAATGTACCCTAGTACATAATGGATTTTTTTCTCCATTTTTTAGCTTTGAAGTCAAAAGCAGATGGAGCTGGTATTTGTAGTCTTAAACCCAGTGTGAGATTAACACCATTGGTACATCTCTTGTAGATGTACATATAACAGTGCAAATCTCATGGAGATGTTAGAAATTAGGAATTTAGCATTATCGTAGTGGTGGTGATTTGCTAACGAATGGTACTAATAAAGTGAAAAGTAAACACTGCTATATTGTGATCCTTGTTATTGTGACATAACAGATTGAATGCTCTGTGTGTAGAAACATAGAAATTGGGACTAAATCCACCTAAATTTGTTTTATTGAGAAATATAAGATTTAAATGAACAAATATCAGACATTTTAGCTCAGTAGCCCATCATTGCCTAAATGTTATGCTCTTCCAGATTACAATAAATAACTCCTCAAATATTTGTTTGAAATATTGGCCAAGTCTAAAGCTGCACTTAAAAATGTTGTACTGTGCCTCATAGCAGATTTGGCAAAGTATAATAGATATAGCGGTGGAGTTTCTGCTTGTGTGCAAGCCAATGGTGTAAGCCACTGTTTTATCCTAAAAGTATGGATGCACCAATCTTGAATTTCTATGGCCAATTCAGATTTCAATAAATTGCTATATAAACAACATTACTTGTTTGTTAATGGGCCCAAACTGGCATTTAAATCAGTTGCTTATGTAAATAATATGAATCAAATAAAATGCTACATCAAAAGAGATGACTGGCTATTTAGCACAATGAGTCGTGCTTAATTATATTTTGCTATAGGTGTACCAGCAGCATTTAAATACAGCTCGTGCATTTACGTAACACACATGATTTATCCATTTACCTAACTGCAATACAGATCTGCCAAAATTAAAACAATAAATTGTCTGATTGCCGATTCCGATCCTGGCCAGTTTCGTTTGTGCAATGTGTTTTTAACACATGCTATTATTTCTTCAACTATAATCTTTCAGCATTTGAGTTGTCTGTACTAAAAATTAGCATCTGGTTTATTCCACTCCTGCAGCCAATGGCAAAAGTTAAGAAAATTGAACTCTTGTTGGAATGTTCTGCTTACTGCTGCAGTCAGCGAACGTTGTTTCTGGCAGTGGCACAATTTTTCGGCACAGCTCTATTAAAAACAATGCTATGTCCAGCTTGCTGTCATCTGTCTTCCGCCAGCATGTAAATGAAGCAAAACATTGGTCTGATGCAGATTTTTTGTTTATGCAAATGTCTGTTGATACCAATATTGTTCTGATTTCATAGTTCATCCCTAATGTAGTCTACCACCTCTTCATTTTAAGATAAACTGTTTGCTGAAATTTCATTTACGTCCATGAGTGCTCAACCTTGTACTCAAGCTTGAGTATGGTTACAGTGGTAGTAACGTTAGGAAGGCTCATATGGCAGTGGTAACGAGTCTCTTCATAGATTTTTTTTTTTTTTCAGATTTACATTTCATTGTTTCTCTGTCCCCATGTGAGTGATAAGAGTGGCCTTTATGGTTTTATGAAGAGGAAGTTGAAATTCAGGCTGCATATTTCCTCTTTTGTTCCCTCCATATATTTTCTCGATGAAAGAAACAAATTGTTTCTGGGTGAATATATAAGCGGTACCTTTTCTGCTATGAAAAGAGCCATCTTGGTACAAAAGTGGCAACCTAAAGCATAGGCCTTAGGCTGAATATGAGCAGCGCACCTATGTAAGACCCAACACAGTAGGAGGCTGGAAATCTCTGTTATGTAACCCCTTATACAAGCACAGTGTCTTACTGAGCCAAAGGTAGGTGGGGTGAAATAGTGACCACCTATTGTGAGCACAAACATCTGGCTGTGGAAACGAGGTATTTAAATATTTAGATTGGGTGCACGCTCATCTGCTGTCTGAGGCAGTTTGATCACATTCTTACATCAAATAAAATGCATCAATCCTTAACAACTTGCCTGTAGGTCAGTAATTCAGCCATTTTTGTCTCATTCTGATTAGACCACTAGTTTGCAGAGACATGCAATCAGCTGCCACTTCATCCACAGCTCTCATTTATAACTCGATGACACTGGCGACTCTAGTTGTCAACCAGAAGGCCTCCTTCATGTTGGTGCCTCAATCCCAACCCTGATAGAGCCACCCCTCCCTCTCTCCCTCCTTTCATCCAGCCATCTATCCCTCCCCCACAGCAGAGGCGAGCCAAACCGCATCCTCTTGCGCATGCGCATTAGCTCATAGCTGTGACTATAGGCTTTCACTCGGAGGAGAGCAGCGCTGAAGGTGAAATAGCAGACAGCTTCGACCAGTACAGAGACCTTCTTAAGGGGGAGAATAAGCAGAAAAAAGATGTACAGATACATCGCGCAGGACTTATTTTCACATTTGCAACACAGGACGTTGAGGAGACGAGCAACATCCGACCAAGTGCTGGGAGACCAGGCTGCTTTTACAACGCCGATATTAAGGTTTCTGTGTTTATTTCGCACAATAAATCATAAAAACGACGATTTTTATTTCTTTTCAAGCAGCTTCCCCACCCCAAAAGTGCTGCTTTTAACAGACTGAATGGCCAATAACGCTCCCATTGTCCTGGGTTCATTTTCTTTGGATTACGTCATCCCGCCCTACCCGTAAGGGGCGTGGCCTGAGCTGTGAGGAGAGAGCGGCCCGCCCGGAGAGACGAGGCGCCATTTAAACAGCCAGACCAACGACGGAGTTACGCTACGTACGCGCCGTTTGGTGAAATAAATGTTTCGTTTTGTACGAGAGGAATGCCTGGTGATTGTGACTGGCAGGTTAAAGGGTGGTCTTTGTTTGTTTCTTGAGTAGAAATGAAGCACTAAAACGCAGCTCGACTGCTGTAAACAGTTACCGAAGTGGGTGGGGGCTGGTGTGACGTCACACAAGGGGAGCGTTCGAGGAGCTCAACAGCTGCGCAGATTGTGCGCTGAAAATGTTACAATGCCCATTCATGTCCAACAACCAAATTTAGTGTGACAAGGAAGTGGCCAGCATTTTATTTTTTTAATTACATGTTACTTTCATACGTTCATACACAATCAATTGTGTATGTTCTATCGGTTTGTAAAAAGCCCTAGTCACATGTGACCAACAGATTGAATTGAATGTAGGGAAAAAATATATGATAAGGAAGAAAGCTTTACTCTGGGCTGGGCAATACGACAGTATTTATTTTTACCGTGATACATTCCCTCACGATATGTCACAATATGCTTTTCTGAGCATATCGTAGAAATCACCAGTACTTAAAAAACATTTCCTAACAACGTTTCATTACAAAGAGAACATACATAGTTCAAATAGTTAAATAGTTCATTGGAATTCTGCAGTGCAGTGTGTAAAACATTGAATACAAATCACTCGTGACATTGACAGTATTTTTAAGAAGTGGCACCACATTTGTGGTTTGTTTAGACTGGGATGTCAGGAAAAAAAAATACTGTCATAGTGTCTGATGTGATATTAAATTTACACCATGTTGCCCACCTCTACATACTCTTCAGTCATACGACTCAGTGTCTTCAGGTTTTGCTTAGGCAAGCTCAGAAAACACAGACTGAAGGAAATGTAAAATTTCAGATAGAACACTTAGAATAAATGAAGAAAC